CTTCAAGAAATTCCGAGAACTTTCTTTCCAATCAGATAGTTCCATGGAAATTGAGTAGGAAATCAGCTGATACATTTGTCTTATTTGAGAGCCAGACTATGCCTAGGGCTATTCCTCCCTCCCATGGTCTGAATCTAGGAGAGATATTCTGATTTCTTGTTTTATTTTCATCGCTTTGCTTTTTCGCTGAGCCTCCTCTTTTTGGGAAATAAATGAACCCCTAACATGCCTTTCTATGAAAATGACATGAAAATTTTAATTGATGCCTGTATGTATGGGTAAAGCCTTTGCCAATGCTTGCAGGATTTGAATATTGAGAATTGAATTCAAGAATAGTCCAATTTCATACAATGTGAAACTGTGTTATATTATCGTTGCTCAAAAACATTATGAACTTAACATATTTTTTGCTATGCGAACAAGATGTGAAATTCATCATGAAGTCATACATTCATTTGCAATTTTATTACAGGGTGGAGGTAATCGTGAAGAAGAATTAACACCTGATGAGCCAGTAAGTAAAACTTCTTTATGGTTTATTCTTGTAATGCTTGGTCCTGCACTGCAAAAATTATCATCTGTTCTTCTTGTGTGGGTAGAAGTGTTTCCAGTGTGGCAGGCAGGCACTGTTCAAGTGTGAGGATTGCAAGCGAGCTTTGTATTGCAGCAGGGAATGTCAGGTGTGTGAAAGTGAGCTTGTACTTACTGCTTGAAGCTTTTCTTTATTAATCAGGGAATCTTGGATCCCCAGAGTATCCTGTTATTTTTGCCCATGTTAAAATTTTTTTTTGCTTTCATTTCAGTGGAAACTCTATGAATTTTTCTCTTTGTCAAGGTGGAGGCATGGGGTGGTCATGAAAGTGTGTGCCGGGTGATAAATCTCATCTTGTCCCCTCAATAGCAAACATCTTCTTGCAGTGACTTGATAGCTATGAAAACAAATAATTTAGTTGTGCTCTGAATCATTCTGTGGTTTTTTCCCTTTGATATTTTGTGATCCATGCAACATGCCATGAATAAGTGAGTATGTGTTCAAAGAAGATGTCTTAGCAAAGCCATTGGACAAAATTCTTGCAAACTGGGTTATGGCAGCCTTTAAGTGTATTTATGCATGTTTAGATCTGTTGTTTTGCATATGTACTCCCTCCTCCGTCTTAGAGTCACCTATTTAGGATTTCTCACAGTGTTTCTATTTGAATTTAGGTCTACTTCTGTCATAGGTTTGTTATAAGCATCTCACTCTCTTGCTTCAGACCACAGAAATCTGTTGTCCGGACTATTGAAGTCTTATGGAAATCTTAATTAATTCTCAGTTCTGAGGCTCATGAAGTAACAATCCTTTATAATCCTGACTGGATTCAGGAGTGATGTGAAGTTTTCCCAAGACATTGTGGGCCCTTGACCCCTTCTACTTCTATTGCATGGTAGTTTCAGATATCTTTGAAGTCTCAAGTCCAGATAAATCATCACAAAGGCATTACAGAATTGTGCTTCCTCACAAGCCTGCCAGAACCAGAGTTGGCGAGAGTAAAAGCATAGAAGTAAAAAAAAGGGAGACATTCTGCATGCCACCTGGGATCATTTATCCTGGAAAGGTGATTTAACTGCATCTGCTCACTTTCCTCCATTTGATGGATCCTGGATGTGTGACTTCAATGTATGCAGCTGCTATGGTACAGGATGTCCAGAAAAAACCTTGGTTTCAAAAGTTTCAAAGTGCTGAAACTCAGGCATTTATCATACCAACTGCCTGGTATACACAGATGGATGTTCATAGTTTTTCATGGATGAGTAAGCAGTTCAACTTGTCCACTGCCATAAGCATATTACTGTTCAAGTTAATTTACACCTCTTTCAAAAATACAACAGTTTCTCTGCTGCATAACATGTATAACAGGAAATGACTTCAGTAGTCCTTGCTCTTGGAAGCAGCCAAGCTTTGTGGAGTTATGCACGCTCATGTCTTGACTAGTCCTCAAGGAAAGAAATCACGTGGCATGAGATTCCATGAGCAAAGCAACTGAGTGACTCATTCCTGCCTTTCCAGATGGATTGGTTGGTGGATCACTCACTCATGTGATCTCAAGCGATTCAATAACTTTCTAGATGAAATTGTAAAGATTCTACTATGCAGCAGGAAACCTCAGAACTTCTTGGCTTGAAAGCAAGGATTGATTACAGAAGATCTTTCTAATATCAAGGCAGAGAAACTGCAGAAATTTGGAAAGAAGGTGAAGAATATTGAATAATGCTATGCTCAATAGCATGTTGAACAATCTCCTCAGCCATTGAAAGCTCTGATGATCCATGTACTGCATGCAGTTGTGTAGATGTAGTGCAATGAATACTTGAGTTATGGCACTCTGAAACTCTCCAGGTTTTTTTCTGGATGTCCTGCGTAATATATCGTGAAATTCAATTTCAAGAACTTAATTCATTAAGGATATACAGGGTGATTTTATGGAGTTCTGAGGAAGCCAGTGTTTTCTTGTGCCATTAGGAGGCAAGACAGGACAATCATTTGTATGGTGCTTGTACGTGGGAGTGAGTTGTGACCTCTTTTATCATCAGCATCATGCCATGAGGTTGTGATTTTTTTTTATAAGTACCAACATTAAAAGTGATAGCAATGTTTAAATAACATCTGAGACATGGCAAGGGTGACAGGAGGTTTGGGCGCTCAATATTGCATTAATTAAATATGCTCAATGAATGGTCAGATTCCAGCATGAAAGTTGCGTAGGAAAGGCTTTTTCAGGCAGACCGATTGAACATGTAATCACATAAGCCCTGTAGTGGAGTTGTAGTTCCTACTCTGGAAGATATGTCCCTACTTGCATTTGATTCGTTGTTGTTCTTTCTGCTATTACTGATTGAGATAATCACATATTTCTTGAGTACCATTGGCAATAGTACCAGGGACTTGGGGAAGGAGGGAAAAGTATCCAAAAACATCGTGAGCAGCTTTAACATGCACGTACGTGTATCGTCTTGCGTTTCCTAATGGTGGCATGGGAAAATATTGAAATTTCTCTGTGCTTTATGAATTGAACTGCAGGATTGACCCTTGCTGTTCAATGTTCCTTTGTGATAATTACATATACACCCTCCTGCTTTTCTACTTTTTTTTCTCCCTTTCTCTATAAATTACATCATTCTCCTGCTCCATATCTATTTTGGACATCATGAATAAATCAGATGTTTGTTTTCAGTGCTTCTTTTCCTTCCTGTCTGTTTACATTGAAACACTGCAGCAGTTTCTAGAAGAAAGCGAATAAAGTTTCAGTTCAGCAAAGATTTAAAAAAATAACACCAGGTGCCCAGAAGGTCATTCAACCTGCATTCCCAGACAGGGGAGGTGGGCATATGTCTGTAAGTATTTAGAGTGTGTGCTCAGGAAAATCGGAGTTGTGTGGATGTCTTGGATTTTGAGTAAATTTTGTAGATTTCCTTTAGTGAGGTATCGAATGCCTTTAAATATTTATGAAATTTTGACCTTTGGGAAATCAGTAGCTTTGGGAATTGGCATCGGCAGTTTAACTCTTTGTGTGAATATTTTTGTTTGGCAAATTGAGACAGATACACCGAAAAGGACGAAGCTACCGACCGCCGAAAACATATTACAGGGTGTCTTAGAAGTCACTAGTCGTAATCCTAATATACGTTTTGCGCCTGAAATAGTGGATCATCCAGATATGAATAACTGTCTCCCCAGCAATGCACTCTATTATTGTAACGCATTTACAATGTTCGGTAGGCATGGTATGACATTTGGAACAAATTTTATGGCAATCAGCTCCCTACTCTGGCTCGACCCTAAAGCGAGAAGTTCGCCGAATCATATCCCAACGACAGCATTCCTCCCTCCCGCGATCCCCATCCCTCCGTATCGATGGAGAAAACGAAGGCGACCCGAGGGGCCGCCGAGGCACCAGCCCATCGGACCACCAGGGCCGATTCGCTGGGCGGTGTTGAGCCGCTCTCTTGCCTCTCACCGTCGAGCACGGAGCGACCCGTGCCCGGACTGTGCCTCAAAGCAGCTGGATGAACTCTTTGCCTAGGAGAAATTTAGCCGGTCGACGGCGCAACAATTGTGTGGTGTTAATGGCATTTTTACTTCACGGTATTAAAAAGAATGCAGGAGTAACTTTTTTTTTTCAAAACATAGGACTCGCGTCTTTTCCTCTCAAATCTCCAGAATCTTGTGATTCACAGAATAGAACGGTGGAATCATATATGATACATTTGAATTGAAAACTGGCAAATTCGCAGTGAGAACATAACTTGTCCTTTTCTCACACCTGTCAGTTGTGGAAGATATGGAAAAATTCGCGAGATTATTGCCATGTAATCAGCTCCTTAAATAATTATTTTAACCGGCACCCGCTGCTTCACGGTTCACTGTCTCCAGTGTTTTTTTTTAAGTCCACGCTGCACTTAGAAATGGGACCAGTGGCGTGCCCAGGAAATCCGAATGGGGGGGGTTCGCCATATGAAACACTGATTACCCACCCTAATGGGGGGGGGGGTTAACATTTAAAAAAAAAACTGATAACCCACCCTGTATTTGTGGTAATATAGAAAAAATTTGTGAGAATCGAACGTGTAAAAATGACCCCAAGGGGGGGTTATGACCCCCAACCCCCCCCCCCCCCCCCCGCGCCCCCCCGCCAAG